CGATTTTTTCAGACTACAACTCCTACACAGACTACAATTACAACTGCAACTACAATTAAGGGTAGAATTTGGCGTCGTATCTTCTTTTTCTTCTATAATTGTAGTCTTTTGGGTATTTTCTTCACATTTCTCCGCTTCTATTTCCCCATCCTCTGCAAGATTACCACATAAATTATCGTTTTGTTCCAAATTTTTACTTTCATTAAAATTATCTGATTTATCATTAGAAATTAGCACTGGAGTTGATGTGCACCAAGCTTGTAAACGCAATGAACGTCTGATAGGTCTTCCACACTCAAAAATTGTTGTTTTTACCATTTATACCTACCAACAATGACAAGTTTTAGTTTCATAAATTTCAAGTAAAATTTTGATCAAATTTCATTTGTCAGCACGTTTTTTATCAACAAAAGTAATAATTAAGTAATAAATTAAGAGATTTACCTCGATTTCAACTGAAAATTGTTAAACACGTGCTTTGACCCGTTGAGTTTGACAATTTATTTAAAAATCATGTCTAGTGATTTTTCCTTTATTACAATTTAAGTGGCCACACTGAAAATTAATTAATTAACCCACCTTTTAAACTACTCTATGAATTTTATTCATAAAATAATAATTCAATCACATTTAAAATAAGTTTACAAAAAGGTGAAAATCAACAAATTAGAAAAAACCCTAAATTCACTTTTATATTAAACCCAAACAAAATAATTACGATCATTTAAATTATCCATTCAAGCTGACAGGTGACTTGACTTAACCTAAATTTTGACATGAGTTACGGATATCTTTTGTTTGTCACCAGAAACCAACCTAACCAAATTTATGACAACCTATTCACGAATATCCCTAAATCCTAGTGAGTAATTTCTTGTTGATACACAAGTTTAAGTTTCTCAAATTTGCTTTGAGTCCGGCCCTGGTCGCGCATGCCCCCATCCCACCCTTCTATTGATATTGTCCAGTTAGTTTACCAACTTTTTCCCCATCAACATGCATAAATACTTATCATCTAGTCTGAATTCCGTGGTATCGATCGATTTGGAGACCTCATGGGCCGCTCAAAGCCTCCAAGAAGCCCTAAAAACAGCTCGATACGATGTGAGCCCCATTGAGTTTTTCCCCTAAAATGACTTATTTTGTCCTTAGGCCAAGTTTCAACAGAAACAAATCCAAGAACGCGAAGAGAAACTGTTGCGTTTATACGAATCCCAACAACAGAAAACCTTCGAAAGAGTCGGTGGTCGAGGAAGTGCTGGAAGCAACACGAGTTTGGGGTCAACTGGGGGCGGAAAAGTCCGACAAATGTTCGATGAAAGGCGACAAAAAGCGGGGATTGACCGGAGTTATCCTCTAGAGCCGTTAAAAGCAACTAATCCAAGGGGTGGAAGTAAAATCACAGTTAAAGCAACAAAAAATGCAAAACCGGAAGTTAGTAAAAAAATTGTTCACTCGATTTATAATAATAATGATGGTGATGAGAGTTTTGAACAACACACTTTTCAAAGCAATAATTTATTATTGAATCAGACTTTTAATAAACATTCCGATATTGTGGAAATGATGAATAATCACAATCTGAGTGATTGTTTAGACAACGAACAAATGCCAGATTTGGGATTTGATGAAGTTGACGAGTCGGTGTTTCCCCGAAAACTCGCCAATCTCGGCGGAAAACTCCCCAGTGAAAAGGTGGAGAAGAAAGCGAGTAAACCCCCGGGAAATACTCTGGGAAAAACCTTCCGAAAGGAAACCAAGGTAAGCGAAAAATCACCATTTTTGTAGAAATGCAAGAATTTTAAAAAATGTGAAATGTCAAAATTTTTTGACAGATAACATTTTTTCCATCTTCCTGGTATCTTAATTGAGACACCATGTATTTTTTTGATTAAAGATTCTATTATTGCTCTTCGACTTCTGTTAAAATATCTAGTAGTCTGCGAGTTAATTAGACAAAATTGTTCATTTTTTATGTGGTTTTGGAGGATTTTATTTTTTATCATGAAGCTTTATCACCCTGTATCTCCGTAACGCAGCTTTATTTGAGAAATTAGTGTTATTTTTCAATTTTTCGCAATATTAAGAAAACACCCTATATATAAATTGTTTCAACCTCGTCCCCATTTCATCTTCACGTTCAAGGGTAGAAAAAAAGGTCATTATAAATGGAAAAGTGTGTGATAATAACCGGTCTTCCCCCACCTTGACCTTCATGTAAATAATTGAGAAAATTCGACGAAAATACTTGCGTGGTGGAGAAAATGGTGATTAGGTTTGAAGATTGCGTGTCGATTACTATTTTCACTTACTGGAAGAATCTAGATTGTATTTGTTTATGGCTAGTGGCGTGTGAAAATCAAACCAAGAAAACTGTTTTTTTTTTTTCGTTTTCCAACTAAAATTGGTACTTTAAAACAGTGATGCCAGGTTTGGTGAAATTCCACCAGATCTGGTGATTTTTATTTAATGAATTGGTGAAAACTTTTGGAAAAATTCTAATTTTTGATAATTCTGATGAAATTTTTTTTTTTTATTTATCAATATAGTAAATTGAGTCAAAAATGATGACACTATTATTTTTTTTGCACGTTTTTTAGCTATGCAGAAACTCAAATAGTTTTGTTTCTCTAAATATTTCACTCAACAAGGTAAAAAAATCGCTAAAAAGAGTCAAAAGTACATTATTTTCATTATTTCTGAGCGTTTTAGTATGTTTTTAGCCAGAAACAGAACTATTTTGAAAAAATTCGTTAAAAACAAACCAAAAATTTATCAAATTAGGCCAAGACTAGTGTTATTTTTGAATTTTTAGAGTGTTTCAGCACGATTTATTATTTTTTTTTAAATATTCAATATTTGCTAAAACCGACTGAAAAATTACCAAATTAGATTGAAATTTTTTGCCTGTCTCGCTCGATTTCGTTCGTTTTTGATCCAGAAACTCATTTATTTTGCAGGTTATTGTCAAAACATGCTTGAACACAACAAAAATAAATCTAATTTTATGTTATTTCGTTTGTTTCATGCGATGATTTAGTCCTCTTTGGTCTTTGAGTAAAATTTTGTCAAAAAACTAGGACGAAAAATACAAAATATGGTCGAAATTGGTGTTGTTAATTCCAAGATTTTGCTAAAACAAACCAAAAAAACATCAAATCAAGTCATTTTTTAAGTGTTTTAACGTAAAACCTTAAATATCGGGTGACTATAAATGATTTGGTGTCTTAATTTGGCAACAGTGATGCCAGGTTTGATGAAATTTCACCAGATCTGGTGATTTTTATTTAATGAATTAGTGAAAACTTTTGGAAAAATTAATTTCTGATAATTCTGATGAAACGTTTCTGTAGTTCTAGTAGAAAACTTTTTTAATTTGATTTTTTAATTATTTATAGTAAATTGAGTTAAAAATTATGACACTATTTTTTTTGGATTTTTTTGAGCATTTGGTAGAAACTTAAATGCAAAATTTTCTCAAAACAAGTTGAAAAATCGAGAGATAGTTTTATTTTTCTAAATATTTCACTCAACAAGGTAAAAAAAATCGCTAAAATGGGACAAAAAGTACATTATTTTGTTTATTTCTGAGCGTTTTAGTATGTTTTTAGCCAGAAACAGAACTATTTTGCAAAATTTCCTTAAAAACAAACCGAAAATTTATCAAATTAGGCCAAAACTAGTTTTATTTTTGCATTTTTAGACTGTTTCAACACGTTTTTAAAATACATTCAATCTTTTTTATAAAACTGAGTAAAAAATTACCAAATTAGATTGAAATTGATATCATTTTGGCTCGATTTAGTTTGTTTTTGAACCAGAAACTCATTTATTTTTCAGGTTATTGTCAAAACATGCTTAAACATAACAAAAATAAATCTAAATTGATGTTTCATTCGATTTAGCTCTTTTTGAGTAAAATTTTGTCAAAAAAAAAAATAAAACAAAGAACACAAAATATGGTCAAAAATGGTGTTAATTGCAAGATTTTGCTAAAACAAACCAAAAAAACATCAAATTAAGTCATTATTTTTGCTTTTATCAAGTGTTTTAGCATGTTTTTCAAGTAAAAACGTAAATATTGGGTGACTGTAAATGATTTGGTGTCAAATTTAAAATTTAATTTGGCAACCTTGACTTTCAAATTCAAACGTCAAACTTTCATAGACAATTGTCATTTATTTGCGACGGGCGACTGCCCCTGGATTATCACCAATTCAGTGTTACCAATAGATTTTTTGTCATCCGGAATTACGCCAAATTTAACTACCCAAAAAATTATACAAAGTGGTTATAAATGATTTTCATTTAGCCAGCTGTGAATTTTCCATGTAAAATAAAAAATGCCGCTTTACGAAAGTAGGGGTACCTACTTGTTGTAACTCAAAATTAAAAAATCGCCGTTTACTAAGCGTCCACTTCGAAAATAGACTTCAATTATAAACTTGTTTTCTTCCAAAGTATACATTATTATTATCAATTATTATGGGAAATTTGTTGAAACAATAAGAGTTTAATTAATAACAATTTATTATTAATTAATATGTGACACTAATGACAGAACTAGAGCGGCACAAATAAAGTTACATGCAAAAAAAATTCAAAGCTGACTAGATGAAACTCATTTATAACCACTCTGTAGAATTAGACCAAATAAAATAGCGTTACCAATTTTTGCATTCTTCGAACGTTTAAGCATGTTTTTAAACAGATTTACGAGATTTATGTAACAAAACGTATAAAAAAAATCATATAATCTTGTAATTTGGTGAAAAAAATAGGTGTAAATCTGCTTGGAACTTTTCAGCTCAGATCTGGTGAATTTAATTGTTTTGAGCTGGTAACACTGCCCTAAAATCATGTTGCTGTCTAGGAAACCGAATTTGACGTAATAAAACAAACGTAACCATGGTAACATAATATAATAAATTGAGTTTTCCGCCGGTTGTAGAAACGTCACAATTTCGCCCAAAATCTCCGTTTTTTTTATTAATAATGCATTATGTTGAGTCAGCATTTTGCAGAAATCAACAAGACTCTTAGCAATAAAGACCAGTTGGAAGTTTTCACAAAATTGCGCCCCGTCAATCAGGCATTAAAAAATTTGACATTTGACAGAAATAAATTAATTAGTGTGTTTCACAGCCCATCATCAAGCGTAGCGTGAAAGCGAGTGCTTCAGTGCCGTCGCAGCAGCCCCCCAAAAGCCTGATTTCGTCGCCGGTTCGCTCCCAGAGCATGCAATCGGCCAAGGTTCGTTTAGTGTTTTTTGTGTTGTAATTTAGTTTTGTTTAGTCAAATCCGGTGAAGAAGGGGACTCCCCAGCCGCCGCAGTCGGCGCGCGCCCCCTGCAAGGACCGGCCGTCGGCCAAGCAGTCGGGGAAGTCCCCCGTGGCGCGCGACGACTTGAACGAGTGCCGATTTTGCAACCGGCGCTTCGCCGCCGACCGTTTGGAAGTCCACGAGTCGATTTGTGGTAAAACGGCGAAGAAGAAACGCAAGATTTACGACGCGACGAAGCATAGAGTCGAGGGGACGGAATTGGAGCAGTATGTGCGAAAGGGGCACAAGAATCTGAGTAGTAAAGTGAGTTGGGGTTTCCCCCGTTTCCAGGTTTTTTATCGTGTTATTTTAGTCGAGTCGGCAAGCCCCCAAGAAGGACTGGCGACGCACCCACGAGGAGTTTATTAATGCTATTCGGGCGGCCAAAATGGCACAAGCACATGTGGCCAAAGGGGGCAAGTTGGCGGATTTGCCCCCGCCGCCCCCTTCGAGCAATCCAGATTATGTGCAATGTCCACATTGTGGACGCAAATTTAATGAAGCCGCCGCCGAAAGACACATCCCCAAGTGTGCCACTTATGAGTTTAATAAACCCAAACCGGGGGCTAATAGGAGTAAAACTTCGGGCAGGAATATGAGATAGGAGTTTGGATTTTGTACTAAATTCACAATTATTTTTTTTTGCTTTTTTTTTTCATTTTAATCAAATAATGTGGCAAATGTAACACGTTTTTACATCATTAAAGGCTGGGAAATGGAACTAGTGATTTTCTAACTTTTGAGTCATTTTTAAACTACGGTGCTGTGTGATAAAGTAACTTATTTTTTTACAAATAATACCAAATTGATTAGCTTTTTTTACTAGAAACTTGATGTTGGCTAGTCCGCTTTATGTTCCTCTTAAAAATCAATAAAATTTGCTTTATTACTTTGTTGTTTGTTTGACCTGACAAAAACACGATCGGAATAAACAATTTATTTTTAAAATAAAAAAAGTAACAATTTAAAATAAATTTTAGAATTTTCGTTGGAGAAAAGATGTAGTTTTAGTCCGTTTGTTTCGTGATGTATCATAAAGCATTAAATTCCTGAAATCTCTTGAATGAAAATTTTTAGGTGATTTTTCTAGTTTTTTTGATTTGCTCGGTTTCAATTGAATATTTTTCATGTTCCAACCATTCAATAAAACAGTTGTTTCTTTCTCTTTTTGGTCTAAAATCACTTCTTCTATTAGACTCAATTGGGTATTTTCTTCTACGGCTTGTTTTTGTCTTTTTTTATTTTTCTTCTTCTTCTTAAGTGGAGGTTGTGGTGGTAAAGAATCGTCTGATTTGGATAATTTCCTTTTTTTGGTAATTTCTACACTTGATTCATTTTTTTTATTTTTATTCTCTCTCTGGAGACTTCCGTTTGATTTCTTATGCTTAAATTTTCTTCGTATCTTTTTTCGTACTTGACAAGTGTTTGTAGCACTTGCATTTGGACTAATTGTGTCACTGGACGATTTAGTTAAAAAAATTTTTAGCACTTGATTAATTCC